AAATATTAAAATTATTATTTAAATATAAGAATAATCAACTTACATAATAAAATGAATCAAAACTGAGTAATATAACTTTGTTGCCAGTTGGCTTCTAGTGGTATTACTTCTATTTCTCACTCGGAAAGTAAAAGAAGAACGTGTTGGTTTATTTACCTAAATTTTTAATTTTTAATTTTTTTACTTTTTGTACTTATTAAAATTTAATTGTATTAATAGTAAAGTTAAATAAAATTGAAATTATTGGGAGCTGAAGCTAAAATATTGAATTTTTTTTACTAATTATAAATTGAGAATTTTTTTTTAAGGGAAAGGATATTTTGCATTCTATTTTTATACGGCTATATTTCATTTTTATTATTATTTTAAGTAAATTATAAAAAAATCTTTAAACTCATTAATTTATCATATCTTATTTTATAGGGTTAAGTGCAAAAAAACACCCTCATAATATGCAAAATGTACAATTACTCCCTTATTGTTCGAAAAACCCCCTTACTGTTTTCAATTTGTGCAAGTAATGACAAATCATAATTTTGGTGCTAAAATTACTAAATTAACCTTACTTTATCATTACCCAAAAAAAAGGCAAAAAACAAAATATCAAATTTACCCTTCATAACATAACAGTATAATGATTATAAATCAATATCTTAATATTTAAAACAAATTTGGAATGTGGGTGTCTATTTACCTTTTACCAAATTCAACCATTGTCCTTCTAATACATTCAAGGAAAATAATAATAATAATAATGATTTTGATAATTGTATCCCACTTATTAATAATTTTTATCCCACTTATTAATGATTTTTGCGAAATTGTGCTTGAAAAGTTAATGGTAAACCAATTAGGAAAAAAAAAAAAAAAAAGAAAAAAAGAAGAAGAAGAAGAAGAAGTTAATGGTAAACTAAATAGGGAAAAAAAAAAAAGTTAATGGAAAATTCAGAAAGTTTGGCTTGCGTGATGTTAAAGTCTTGTGCCTGTTTATTATAAAGATCTGGATACAATAAAAATCATCGACATTAAAAAAATAAAATAAACAATTTTTAAAAAATGTGTTGCTTGAGTTTGTGTCCAGCCGAAAAGTAACCAGATCAAAATTTTAATTTTGATAGAAATCCTAAATTCATCAGATAACAATTTGTGTCAAGGCAAATTCATTATTTTAATTATTATTATTATTATTATTAAGGGAGGATCATTCATTTACAATAAAATATACATCTATCATTTAGAGAGGAGATAATATTGGTAACGATAGAAAAATTTTAGAGGGAAAAAAAAATAGAAAGAGTGATAATATCGGCAACCACAAAAAGATATTTTAGATAGAAAAAAAAAATTAGAGAAAGAATATTGGCGGTGGCGAGATATTTTAGAAAGAGAATATATATATATATATTTTAAGAGAGATAAACTACGGCGACACACAAAGAGTTTGTCTTTGACAGGTCTTGAAGCACATCTAAACAAACCCATTCAGTGTTCAAATATATACAAAATTAGTAGGGGCATTTTTTTCACTAAAAAATGACATTTTTGATAAATAAAAAAAATTTATATTTTTTAAATGACTGTCACCAACTACTTTTTTTCAACGAATCCATTTAATAAGGATAAATTGCTCAAAGGTCTTATTATAAGGTCATGATAACTTAGGCTTATTTCTTAGGCAGAATGTACGTGGTTTGTTATGTGGTAGTCTATTTGTTAAGTTTGGAAAAGAGAGGAGAGAGAAAAAATCAGCTCAAAAAGGGCCTCATTTATAAGATCTGTTACTGCCGTCAGAACTCCGCTGCTCTCTGCTGCCACCACTGCCCTCTGCCGCGCCGCTGTCCTCTGCTGCTTCATTGGTCTCAAACTTTTTTTTGATATCACGCGCCGGTTACACTCCGCCTTCCTTAAACAACCCTCGCTGGCTTTGGCATCACTGTCATCGGTCCACTCCTTCAACAACAATAGTTAATGCTTCCTTCCCCGTCGGTGAAATCATCCGTTCTCTCTACCGCCGAGCAGAGCATCTCCACCGTGGGTGGGTTCAACATCGCCGAGCCGAGTCGAGCCTTGCTCGCTGCTGCAGCCACTTCATCGCCGATCTGCTGCTTGTATTCTTCATCGACGACGTCTTCGGTCCGCCGCAAAATCCGCTGCCATCATCGTCAGCGAGTCCTCCATCCGCTTTTCCGGATCTCTCAAACCTAGCTCCCATGCTGTTTTGCCGATGCCCTTGTGTTCTGAACAGATCTCGGTTTCTTCGTAGTGGTTCGATTTGAAGGCGAATGACTTCAATCTCCTTCATATTTCTACTTTTCTTTTCTTTTTAGAGAGAGAATTAAAGACAGAATGTCATCTTTTTTTCTTTTTTTTTTTTACATTTTGCTAAACCTAGCAATCAAAAGTAAAAAGTGTACAAGCCCACATCTATCTCTCAAAGAGAAAGTGAGGGTGATAAAGGAATCCCTCCACACTAAGCTCAGCGACATAATCACTTTCTATTCTACCTCCTACGAATCAGTGGCCACCACCACTACAGGTCAGTCCCGTGACGGACTTGTCTACAGGTCAGTTTGGCAATGCTATAAACGACATCGATCCTCCTTGGATCATCCATGATAGAGATTGAATATGTTCTCACTATCGTCGAAAAAGCTTACCGTGACAGCTCCACGACAGCAGCCACAAAGCAAGGATCATTTTTAACTTCAAACCAACTATGATTTTGATCGCCACGTGGGAGATGGTCATGACGTGGCTGGCTATGTATTATTCGATCTAACAAATCTGCCAAAATTATCGGCCCAAATATCATTTTCCTAAGTTATATGCACTTTTTTCTAATAGGGGTGTTTCTTGCAAAATGTTATATAGTAAGGGAGTGTTTTTTGCACTTAACCCTATTTTATAATACCATAACTATCATTGCACTATAAACTTTTTTTTTTTTTTTCACATTCTTTACTTACTAATAGTTTATTATTATTATTTTTTTCATGAAAATATAATTTACTCAACTAAAGTTATTAGGATGATGGATTAGTGTTAAATTCATGACAATTATTCGAAACAAAAGAAGAGAACACAATAGTAAAAAGATTATTGGAGACAAAAGGTAGTGAGACTTCTCTCTCTCTCTCTCTCTCTCTCTCTCTCTGTGCATGCATTACTTTAGAATAATAATTTATGGTTTGTCCTTCAATTTTTGTAATTTAGTTTATTATTAAAACACAATATAATATAAAGACCAGATTAGAGATACGAAAGCTTAAACAAGCAAAAATAGTTCTATATAATATCCATCTTTCTCTCTCATCTTTTTCTTTTTATTTATATTTATTTTTGTGTGTGTTTTTCACAAAATCCTTGTGTTTGAGAGTTTATTGTCAAAATAGTTAGACTTTATTGTCAAAGACATTCCAAATTAATTATTAAAAAGCACATAAGGGGAAAAAAATCAAATTAAACTCAAAGCATACAATACAAAAAGAAAATTAAAAGAAAAAAATTACAATTATCATTAGTATTGATAGAGTAGAATGGCTCATTAAGTTTTGTTATATTCTATTATTACTTACAAGGATCAATATCAAACCCTAAAGAAAGAGAGATGAGATAATTGATACAAAGTCGAGAAAGAATTGATAGAGGATGAAAGTGACCCAAAATATTAATTGGGAAGAGATGTTGAGACAAAAATATATTTTTATAATTGAAAGGGTAATTGTGATTTTTTAAAAAATAATTATTATTTATCTATAAAATTAGTGTTTGAAGAGTTACTTCCTTGAAGAGTGGAGTGCAATCAATTGTAAAAAAAATAGAGTGCCAATATAACCTCCATTTAAAAATAGGGTTTAACCGTTTAAGTTAGTTTGGTGTCCAAGATTATGTAACAAAGCTGCACATGAGATGGGTAAATGGACTCAAGGATAGGTGATTTGTACAATGAATTCGTAAACCTAAATATCACAACCAAATACTGCAAGTTTAGCCTTCATGAATGTTGAATGTATTCCATGAGGATCTTTCCTCCTCGTATTTATAACATTTGATTACGTTAATATATATATATATATATATATATCCTCCATTTTTTTGAAATATTGAATTGATATTTAAGTACAGATTAATACGTGATATTTTATCCACTTAAAATTAAATTACTTTCGCATATATAGGAGACTAAACAATACACGTCTTCAATCATAAACCTGTCCATCCTAGTTATATCCAAACTAAATTCGTAAAAGAGACCTTGTTGCACCTTTATTTCCACAATGATGTTAAAAGCTTGTCAATTTAGGCTCAGTTTGTTAGGACGTAAAATATTATTTAGAAAATATTTTTTTTATTTTTTGGTATTTGGTTGTCATAAAATATTTAAGAAGAAAAAAAATATTAAAATTTAACAAAAATAATTTATCCATAAATTTTCGGCAAATTTTTTTATATGCCCGTCCGATAGACTCGACCTCAACCATAACCTCAACTTAAACATTTGCTAAATACTAACAAAGTAAAAATAAAAAAATATTCTCTGAAAAAAAAAATATTTTACAAAAAAATTTTTACGTCGAAATAAATAAACGGAACCTTAATCCTAAAAATTAGCCTAATTAAAAAAGGCTTTGATTCTGGTCCCTCGTGAATAAGCAATCATCATGTCTTATGATATCGATTTCTTTTAGATGTCTTGTAAATTAGTGGGATTGGAATTTTTTTAAAAATAAAATAATAATAAAAAAAGTGACAGGAAAATATTTTAATTCCATTTTTATCCGACATTGAAAACCCTAGAGAGCGGGACTTACCACTTGACCAGTGACCGCCAAAATAACTAACTAGAGGGCTTCTTCTTCTCTATATATACACATATCCAGGGCCAGCCCTGGCCCAAGGTGACCAAGGCGGTCGCCTTGGGCCTCAAATTTAGAGACCCACAGGGAATGGAAAAATAAAAATTAAGTTAGGACTAGTCTTGGTCGCCTTGGGCCTCAAAATTTGAGGCCCATAGGATGGGAACAAATAAAAAAAAAAAAAAGGTAGGGCAAGTTTCAGACGACACAATCTGCTTCGACACTCCGCAGGGCGCAGTCTCCGCTATCGCCTCAGGTGACAAGGTATGTTCATCCTCTCTCTCTTCTCTCTCCTTTTGCATGAATCGATCTTTTTTATATATGTTTCTTTCTTTTGTTCATCTCATCATTTGATTTGTTCTAACTTTGGTTCGTTTGATTCGGGCCTTTACATTTGTTCCAATTGTGAAAAGTAGCTTCCAAAACTATTTTTTGTGTGTGTCACTGTGTATGATGGCTATCAAAAGCTGAATGAATATATTATGGTTCTCTTAGTATTTTAATAAATGTGTGCCTTTCTACATGTGTTTTTCATGGCGATCGAGTCCATAATCTATGGCAGGTACCTTTTTTTTATTTTTTCCCTCCCTAATTCCACTCCAATCTCACAACAGCAGCAACTATACCCCTTTTCCTCATAATTTTTTGCATTTTCACATTCAATCCTACAAAAATTAAGGATCCCTTCTAGTGGGTTGAGCTGTTGAAGTAATAATTAACAATCTTTTCAAGATTCAAAGCCAAACATCGGAAATTGAAAGGATTATTAAAAATTTACATATAAAAGGTTTCACGCGAAAATTATTTTATGACAAAAAGGGAGCCTTAATGTTCAGTGTCAAGCTTGCTTTAAAAATTGTTCTTCTCTTCCTCTGTAGTTTGGAATAATGTTATAATTATATTCAAATGATATGATGTATGCTTGTATAGGGAGTAAACATAGCTGTTTTTGATGCGATAATGGAGGGCATTACTCCATCACAACCATTTATCAAGTCTGAGATGACATATAATTTTGAGTATCAAGGTGTGCCAGAAATGGCATCAAAGCTGCCAGAGGACGCATCAGTTACCCTTTTGATTCGTCATCTTCCTGAAGCAATTCCTTATGACACCCTATCTCGGCTCTTCTCCCACTATGGCGCTTCTTCTCTCCGTCCTTGTGCAAGTGGAAGGTATATGTAGCATGATTCAGAGATTCTATCTATTTGGAAACTGTATGTTTGCAAGTCCATTTTGTGTGACAACAAATTTTAGGAATTTTCTTATTGACAAACTCACATGGTTTCATTTTGATATATAAACAAACACACACACTTGGTGTTTTGGCTTAGTGGCAATGTCAGTCATTATGACTTTGAATGCCAGGGTTACATCCAGTCATCTTAAAGAATCATATGAAACGATTCTGATGTGGGAATCTTGTCTACGAAGTGTAATAGTTTTTTTTTTTTGGACATTTTCCCCACCTCCTTTTATGCAATTTTGTTAGGCACTGGTTTTATTTGTGCTACTTAGTAAATTCTTTAAAATTCAATTCAATGCAAAGCTGCTAGTTGAAGTTTTTCCATGGTCTTAATGGAAGTCGGACATTGTGCTTGTCTACCTTTTAGAACGTCTATATTTCTTTATGCTAGATAACTTTAGTGTATTGGACTGAGTGGAGGTGTCATTTTCTAGTGGCCAGGTGTTAAAGGGGTATTTGTCCTACATCGGATCCGGATGGAAAATGACGGGGGTATAAATGGGTGGGTATGCAACACTATGTAACAACTTAAGTTTTTGGGTAAATGGGCAAGCGCCCACTTGTTAGAGTTGGTATTCAAACCCAGTCCTTGATCCGGTGCCAAGCCAAGCGCCCAGCCCGGAAGGCGTCCAGGTTAGCCACTTGGTAGGCAGGGTGGCCCGACCAGAACGAGGGCGTTGCGAGTTCGGATGGGGGAGAATGTTACAAGGGGTATTTGTCCCACATCGGATCTGGATGGAAAATGAAAGGGGTACAAATGGGTGGGTATACAACATTACCCAATAGCTTAAGTTTTTGGGTAAATGGGCAAGCACCCATCCGTTACACCAAGGGTCTAGAACATTAAAAGATCAACCTGCTCGTCTAATGAAGCTCAATTTAATCTATTAGGTCGGTATGTTGTTTGTTGCATAACCAGTTTGGTGTATCTTTGACCTTGACATGAGAGTTTGTTGAGTCCCTGCACCAGCACAGTAAGGAAGAGGATGGCTGGTCTTTCTGGTGTTCATTGTTTTAAGACCTGCACAGGGTCTCAAGCCAAAAGGAAGGATGGTCATGTCAGGTAGTTGGCTACATAAAAAACTGTAGTTAAATTTTGGGAGATAAACATAGGATGCTATTCGATCAGTATCACATTCCCTTCACATTCTGTTTGAGGGTGTGTGCTAGAACAAGTAGGTGTATCCCATCACTGAAATTCCTTACTTTATTTAAACTGATCTTTGTTTGTTTACTTAAAAGAAATGCTTTTTCCTATTGCAGATTGAGAAACTGTGCATTTGTGGATTTCAAGAATGAAGCTTTGGCATCTCAAGCACAAAGGCAGTTAAATGGGTATTTATTTATCCAGCATCCATTTTTTCATAATGTTTGACTAATGTTTATATAGATTTTGGTGAATTTTGTTAGGCTCTTTTTTGCTTTATTTTCTGATGTTTTATCTGTTCCCCGAGCATAACATATTCCAAGTTCATTCATCTAAACTGGTACATGAAATAGTGTCTGATCTATTGGCTCAGTGATGTTTGCCAGGTTGCGGTTTCTGGGTAAAGTGTTGTCAGTAGAGAGAGCTAGTAAACCAACAGAGAGTAATGAACGTCAACAAAGTGAACATCAATCAGGGAAGCACTCTACATCTTTGATGAAAGATTCGACTATGAGCAAAGATCTTGGCGTGGGAACAAAATTGGGGTCCGTTACAGTTAGTGAACCCATTGCTAAACGCCTTGGTGTTGACTATCCGTTTCCTCCCCACCTTGAGTACGTTTTTCCGTTTTCATAATCTTCCCTTCATTCCATGCATTTATGACACATTCATATCTAGGATTGACAAATAAAATATAACATTTAAATGCAAGGTCTTTTTGTCATAGTAGGCAAACAAAATTAAAGATACTAGACTGGTAAACATTACTTGAAGAAAAAAGGATGGTTTATTTAGTTTTATTTTATTTTATTTTATTTTTTAAATGAGCCATGATTTTAAAATGAAGAAGATGCCACCTTAAGCATATAGGAACTCCTCATTTCTAGCGTTGTAATTTGCTTGCATGCATGCAAGTTTGCATGGCCAATGAGTCTTGTTTTTGTGATCTTTTGCCCTACTGGTTGTCAAGAACTTTACCTAATCATTGATTAAATCGAGTCTGTTGTGTCATTTTGCTTGCCTGCATCTTTTATTTGATATTACTGCACCGGAAAGTTATGTGAAAAGAAACATAATCTTTAAATAAGCTGGTGCTTCAGGAATTTTGTATTTCTTATGCAAAGCAAGAGGTGTGCTTGAAAGTCTGGCTTGTTGAATGATATTGGGCCATGTGAGCAGGTGTTATGGTACCAAGGTACTTAATAAAGTTGTATGAGTTGTTGATGTTGTAATTACAAATATTATTTCATGTTCCATCTCAAAAGTTACTTATTGAGAAAAAATATTGTTCCGTCTCAAAAGTTTTTTTGGGATTCCTGGGGAGGAGTTTGGTGTGCTATCCTGAAATTGAGATTCCTTATTCTAAAATGGACCTTCATAAAGTTATGGAGTCAATTGAGCTAATATTTATTTATTTTCTAATTTTTATTATTTTTATTATTTATTATTTATTTATTTTATTGTAACCGTTGTTTGAATGATGAAGATGACCTCTTGTAGAAAGAATCCACCATCTGTTCGAGTTTTCCATTTGCTTGGGAAAAATAGAGATATGTTTGTGTGGGTGTGTGTTTGTGAGAGAGAGAGAGAGGGAGGTATGTGTCCTCCTTTATTGAATTGCTGATTTAAAACTGAATAGAAAGAGGGGAAAGAGAGGTATACGTCCTTCTAGACAAAAAGGTACGTGATGACCAGCTGCTTAGTGATATTCTTTACAACTTCCCTCTAACTCATAAAATAAGGAAAAAGAATCTAGGAGTTTTACTAATTGATCTGAGATACCAAAGTGTTCCTTTGGAATCGCAACAATCTTTAGTTATAATGGATCCCCCGTTACATTTTGAGCGAGATTCTAGGAAGTTAGGGTGTGTGGTTTTGTTGAAGGAGGGATGGGAAAACAAGTTTTATGCAGCTGCCCTGAATAGTTAAATCAATGAGTTTATTGGCTGATTTCTGATTTGTTAGATCAAGTATACCACTTGCAGCAAGGGCAATTAATGAATTTATGCTCTCATTCTGGACTGCTAACTTATACGGAAGAGATTTACGTAGTGGATCTCTAAGCTTCATGTAGAAACCACTAAAGTTCCCTCCTACTGACTCACCTATTCCTTCATAATTAATCAAACTAACTGTTAACTCTGTCACATCGAGAACAAGACCCTCGATTCCTCCTTGATCCTCCACCACCTCAGACCTCCACCTTCGCTTTATTTTAATACTGATATGATAATTGTGGGGCTCCTTTAATCCTTCACAAGTGACACCTGTTTAGGAACTAAATTCATGCATTCTTTTTGAAACCCACTTTGACCTTCCTCTCATTACGCTGTTCTTTCATCAGCACTGCCATCCTCGCACCTTTCTCTATCATGTTTTTCAAGATTGTGATCCAGATCGTAGGATTGCACGATCCTACATGTAAACTTATCAAATTGACATGGATCTTGTGAAAAATTTGCGTAGAAGGATCTAAACCTTGATCTTCCCATTCAAATCTTAATTGTGAATCATGCGTCCTTCGGATTTTTACCTTCTTAGCTACATGATCAATACTTGCATGAACTTGTGTATAAAATATAAATGCATGCTCTCTATCTATTTTAGGAATTCTTTATTTATGAATTTAGTCTTAGTGTTTACTCATTTTGGAGATTCTACAATCCTCAATCGGATCCTACGGTCTGAGAGTAATGACCCCCTTTTGATCCAATATAGGATCCAGATCCTAATAACCTTATTCTCTTACTATCCTACAGAGTGTGACACTGCCATCTGCATGCTCTACACTCGAGTTAATGATTCGGACTTCTTTCCCATCTCTTATCAGTTATTCAGTTCTAGCTTTTGTAGTACCCTCCACTCCCACTCCCCAGCCACGGAATCATTGAAGTTAACTCTTGTAGGACCTCCTCCACTCCCCGTTTGGAAATAGTACAGCTGACCTCCCCCAAAGATGACCGCTTCATCCGAGCCTGAGACCCCTCAACTTGAGATCAATGACACTTCCAAATTGGTGTTGTGTGAGTCGTGTGATTGAGGGTGAAGAGGTGCCTGTTTGCCACTTACAAGTGCATTGCAGTGCAGAGAGAGTTATGGGCTCTCTTATTCTCTCTATTCAGGATGGAAAGGGTAATACTGTGATGCTAAGATCTATCATAGAGCAGTTGGTTGTCTGGCAAAGTAACTATGTAAACAAATGCAAGAAAATAGTTTGGAAGGTGGCCTCACTATTGTTATTCTATAGTGTGTGGAAGAGTAACGCGTGGCTTTTCAATGAAAAGATAATACCTGAACGTATTCTAAAGCATGTAGTTTTGAATTCCTTAACCATGTTGGGTCTCTCCCAGTCTTTTGAATTATTTGTATATTGCTTGTGGGACTTGTTTTCCTTCTTTTCTTTATGCTCTTGTACACTTCGTGTTCTTGATTTGCGCTCCATTGGTGCCCTTCAGTGATTTATTTATTTTTGCGTAAAGAAGGGGAAAAAAAAAATTGATGCGCTGCATATAAATGGATCATCAGATTTACAACCTTGAATTCCTACTTGATTGTTAGTTGGCCAATTTTCCTCAAATCTGGTTGCATTGAGACTATTTCTAAGTAGGTCATGGTTTTCGTGTACCAACTAAGGGAAAATTTTGACGCATTTTTGCTTCAAGGAGCAAAAATTTTACAAATTTAACCTTACTATGGATATGTTAAATTGAGAAGCTTTAATGATGGTATCTAGTTGGATGGGACTGAAATCTTAGCCTGTTCCATTTTATTTTATATTTATATATATTTTTGGTGAGTAAGAACACCTAAGTCAACAAACACCCACTATGTCCCAACTGGGACTAGGGGTGTAACTTGGGCTGGCCCAACCCAGCCCAATCCGAGCCCAACCTTAACCCGGCTTCCGGTTGGGTTGGGCTGGCCCGAGGTAACTCGAATTCGGGCTTCAACCCAAGAAGCCCAACCAAATATTTTCGAGCTGTTTGGGTTGTCTGGGTCAACCTGTTTTTTTTTTTTTTTTTTTTTTTTTTGCAATGTGTTAGCCCCCCCCTTTTAAAAATATGTCTCCACACTAGTACCATACTGTCAATATATATTTATATATAGGTGGACAAAGAATCTGAAGTTCAAAAATAATAAAACAAGGAGAAGATTTTTATTTTTGATAAGTAATAATAAAATAAAAAGACGTTCAAAAGGGGAACGCGTCCCTTATACAAAAGTGGAATTGGGGCTAAGGCCCAAAAGAATCCAAAAAAATAATTAAATCATCAGAAGAGGAGCAAGAACTCCTCTTCACGTAATTGAAAAGAGAACAAAGAATGTAAAGTTTCAGCATTGCCGTAGACGACTCCTTCCTTTCGAACATTTTACTATTTCTCTCTTTCCAGATGCACCATTATACGTAATGTGGGACAATTCTCCAGAAATCGCGTACATCCCTCCTCACACGACATCCTCTCCAGACATGAATCAAATCCTTAGTAGATCGTGGCATTACCCAACGCATCCCCGAACAACCCAAGAATAAGATTCCAACTGTCATGCGCCATAGGGCAATGTATAAGGAGATGATCAACTGACTCCCCATCTTTCTTGCATAGGTAGCACCAGTTAACTAAACAGTTGCCCCTTTTCCTCAGGTTATTAATCGTCAGAATCTTACCCCAAACAGCGGTCCAGACAAAGAAAACCACCTTAGTTGGAGCAACGGATCGCATATGGTCTTCCACGAGAAGTCACGGTTATCAAAATTAGACAGACATAAGAACAAAGAACTTACTTCGAAACGACCGTTGGAAGAAGGAACTCATGTCAAATCATCATGACCTCTGCCAACTCCCTCCTACCGATACAAATGATCTAGAAAAATGCATACCTCGTCCAACTCTCAATCTTGAAAAGAATGCCGAAAGTGCACGTCCCACGTAATCCCACTACTATCAAGCCGATAACAGTCAGTTACGTAGGCGTGTTTATCAATTGCAATACTGAATAATCTAGGAAATGTACGAGATAAAGGCTGATCACCACACCAAAGATCTTCCCAAAAACGAACGCGACTTCCATCACGAACTTTGAATTTGATATGAGCAGAAAAGGCATCCCATCCCTTCCGAATGGACTTCCACATCCCAACTCCTCCCACAAGAGAAACCAGACGTGTAGACCAACCGCCAAAGGATAAAAATTAATAAGCACGACAAATCGGCAAGAAATAGGCCTGAAAATTATTTTTCATAAAAATATGGGTTATATTTTTACTTATATATATATAAATTTGGTAAGCCTCTATATAAATACACACACACACACACACACACACATAACATATGTCAATATATATATATATATATATATATATATATATATAAATATATAAATTGACAAAAAATTTAAAATTCAAAAATAGTAAAACAAGTAGAAGATTGGGATACCATCAAAATACCAAAGGATAAAAACTAACAGGCCAGAAAAATCGGCAAAAAAATAGACCTTCCATAAAAATATAGGTTATATTTATTTTTACATATATATAAATTTGGATTTCCAAAAATAATTAAAATTTTTTTTTTTTGGTAGGCCTAATTTTTTTTTTTTAAAAAAAGAGAGTTCAAAATAGAATATAACCCAAAAAAAAAAAATCTACTGCCAAACAACCCTCTCTCTCTACATCAAATTTTTTTCCCCAAATGTTCATATCACAAACTAAATATTGGAATTATATATATAAAACAGCAGCAGAGGAGGAGGGAGAGGGAGATGCAGCAGAAGAGGAGAAGGAAAACGCTGGTAGAGGAGGAGGGTGAGGGAGACGGCGGCAGCGGTAGCGGCAGAGGAGGAGGACTGGAGGAGGAAAACCGCGGCGGTGGCTTCATATATATATAGCGGCGGGCTTCATATACATATAGATACGTATATATATTATTTGGAAGATAAAAAATAAAAAATATTGGATTTTTTTTTTTTAATTTTGGGTTTTGGGTTGTGTTCGGGTCGAGCTCGAGCCCAACCCGAAAGTTTTGATAAAACTCAACCCAATTTGAGCCCGATTTGGGAATTTAAAAAACCAAGTTTCAAAATTTTCGGCCTGGATTTGGGTTGGGCTGGGTTAGCCCGCCCAAGTTGCACCCCTAACTGGGGCATGTTATGCCAGGATGAGGAAATACCACTTGAGATAGAGGCTCAGTGGTACCTAGCCTCTTCAATACTTACATAGAAACTATAGTTACTGGAATATTTACATCTGTTAGTTCGTTTTCAGTACATTGACATGGTAAACGGTTGTATACTTGGACCTATGTTGTTCATCTTGTAATTCATATTTGGAAATATTTGCATGCTTATGTGCAGAGATTTTCCAAGATCGGTATGCATCTGGTTAAATTAACTATTTGTGGTGTAGGTATGCATATCCTCCACCAGATGGAAATATTCTGACCAACATAGTAAATGCCCTTATTGCTGTTCCGCGATTCTATACACAGGTTAGTTTTTCTTCTGTTCCCATGATCATTTTTTATTTAAATGTAAATCAGGTGGCCACTTTGTTTATGATTCACACATGTGGTTTCAGGTGTTGCACTTGATGAACAAAATGAATATACCTGCTCCTTTTCGTATGGCACTGCCCACACCACCTCTACCACCTTCAGTACTTGCGCCGCCCCCACCTCCACCCCCACCCCCTCCTTCTGTAGCTACTAAGCCTCACTTGACGGATCTATCAAGTGATGAGTCTGAAGTGGAGTCTTCAGATGAGGTAATCTCTGCTACTATTTTGGTATAGCCCAACCCGCTTACAATATGTATGTATATTGGAAATATGCGTGGATATCTTCAGTTTTTAGACATGACTCGACTTCTGGAGCATTTGATCTGATAGCATGTTTTACATAAAATAGAAGGCCATTACCAAGTGTTGGTCTCACACTCTCACTATAACCTCCAGCAGAGGCTTTTAGTCACAAAAAATGACATGCTAAGCCTGAAGAGTGTGGTGAAAAAGTGCACTTCACTCTCCTACTCTCCTACTCTCCGCTTATTTTCTGGTCAGCTAAAATTATGGTGTTTCTTTCAATATTTGCAAAGCATGTTGACTATGTATTTGTCATTATTCATACGCTTTACTGCTCTTTAGTATTCTTTTTTTAGTTAACTGTTCTCTTTAGTATTACTACAATCATTTCCTTTTTCATGCTCTTTGCACAGTTACATATTGTATTATATTGCTTGCTTACGTAAAAGAAATTCATGTTAGCATATTTTGATTGTTTGCAATTGCGTGGCATTTTAAAGGAAGCTGATGACAGAGCCTATTCCGTTGGAGGTCCTACTGTAGAGAGACCTAAACGGAAGCGCTTCAAGAGCGAATCTATTGTTGGTCCTGCAGTTAATAAAGATGTGGCTCATGAGGCTGTTGGACTGAAACCTGCCAGCTTGGTCCCTAAGGAGATCCCAGTGATAAAAAAGAAGAACGCCATCTTACAGGTCTAGCCTTCCCCATTTTAGAGAAATAACTAAATAAGTACTTGAATGATCTTTTCTCTTTTGAATTTTTGATATGTTGGGGTCTTGGTTTGGTTGCAGATCAAAATTGTGCCTAAACAAATTCAGAGTGAGCAAACAGAAACTGACATCAAGAAAGATCTAGACGAGCCAGAAAATCTGGATTTAGATTTTAAACCTTATGCAACCCCAGAAGAATTGGAGAGTGGAAAGTTGCCTCCGGAGGAAATCTTGTCACTTCCAATGTTTAAGGTAGGCATTAGGCACAATTTGAATTTACTGTCTTTTTGCAACCTAATCCATTTGTTGGCTAATTTAATTGATTTAATTTACTTCTGCCACAAATTCGTCACTGAAATACATGTATGTGTGACATATAAACGTGTGCTGGTAAATCTTTGTAATCTTCCTTTTATACATTTTAATACTTTACATAATTTTTTCCCTTATTTTTCCTAGGTAATCTTCCTTTTATATATTTTAATACTTATCCAGGATTTAATTATTATGTGCTGCTGATATAAAGATTTATATAAATTTTTTTCCTTATTTTTCTTAAGGAAAATTACCACCAAGTCATCCTACTTTTCTTATTGAAAGACAAATAAGCCCTAAAAATATCCTTTAGGACCAATAAGTCCAACTTTCCAGATTTTTTTCCTTTTAAGTCCAAAGTCACGAAATCTTCCATTTATACACTTAACAAAATTAGATATAAAATTTAGACTCAAACTTTCATATATACACACTACAAAATTAGACATAAAATTTGAATAAAAGAAAAAAAATACATTTTAGTTATTTTTTTTATAGGATAATTAATTTTTTGGAACTAAATTTGTGTATTCTACATGAGTTTTTTTTAATTGAATTTAAATTAGATTAATGATTATTTAAACTCTTAATGGAACATTATTAAGTAAATAACACTTAAAAGGAATATATAAAAAAATATATTATATATCAATTCTTCAATAAGTTTATAATTACAAAAAATTACTTCTATTTAGTAAGGGTATAACTGGGAGATTTAGTTATTTAGGACTTAGAAAAAAATCTCAAAAATAGGGCTCATCGGTCCTAAAGGATATTTTTAGGGCTTATTTGTCTTTCAATGAGAAAAGTAGTACTTCGTAGTAATTTTCCCTTTTTTCTATCCGCCTTTGTGTGTGTGTGTGTGTGTGTGTGTAAGTAAGTATGAGCGCCAATGTCATGGATTTTGACTAAATAGAAAATTGTCTATCTTCTGCATCTTAGATGACAATATTTTTGCCAAACTGGAATACATGAAATAAGGAAGGATTTTGTATGGGAAATTGGAAGTGTAATAAGCTTATGCTGCTTTACTTGCTGGCTGTTTTTGGACAGATAAGATTACCAATCTCCATCAAACTCTTCTAGAAATTTGACAATTTATTTTATTGTCATGAACTTAGTTAAACTTCAATCACTATCAAAGTGAGCTTAAATCATGGAAATTTGTTGAGATGTAGTGCTGAAACACATCTGAAATATACGAGGTTAAGCATTGGAGAAACAGAAATACTGTCTGAAGATCATGGGAAGTAGGATATCAGGTTTATAATCGTCTTTCAGTGAGAAAAGTAGGATATGGTAGTAATTTGCCCTCTTTTTTGAAGCTCACTAGTAAGCCAGATATATATTGGTATCAGGTCCCGGTGCAGTGAGAAGTCACTTTTGCCCAATGGGGCTCACGAGATGAGAATCCTAGGTGGAGATCTGATCTGCCACTGAAGAACCTCTGAAGGGTCCAAGGAAGAGCTGGTGACCTCGTTTTGATAAGATCCCTTCAGGTTAGGACAGATTGAAGACTCTGTCCAGGTTCTTTTTTGGTAGGTGGTCAGATTCCTCTTCCTTTCCGAACTATCTCTCTTCCCTCTCCGTGATGAGGTCAAACGAGGGCTCTGCTGCGGGATTAGCGACAATAATTCTTCCAGCAATCATCAAGCCTTATTCACCACGCCAATACTCCATTACCATCCCTAGTTCAGATTGGGGATAGGCCTGAATATGAGATCCCAATCATAAGGGATCGGGAATGAGGAAGTGTTGCAGCTACATATTGCCATCCCTAATTCGTTTTGTTAATACAAAACCACTTTTAATGTGATCAGATCACTATTTTATTAGACATGATATCTATATTTATATATATTTTTCTTTGTTCTTTGTTCTGTTATGTAAGAGGAAGGTCATGCTCCTCGATTGATGATTTCTTTGATCTTTTGGATGCTATTGGTCCTTAGGTCTTTTTTCTTCTTGTATTAGGTACGCGTTCCCCTTTTGAACGCTTTTCTAATATACTTTTTACTTATATATATATATATATATATTGATAAGTAAGACAATTGTATAAAAGCCCTCAGAAGGGGAGCGAAGCCCAAGAGAACTACACAAGGCCAAAAAGGGCCTCTAAACTTTCAAAGAGTCCAAAAAATCAACAATCTCCTCTAAAGATGAATAATTTCTCCCTACAACCCAACAAAAAAAGAGTGGAGATAATAGAGAATTTAAGCATAGAAATAAGATTCTCTTTTCCTTCGAAAGATCTCCTATTCCTCTCGAGCCAAATACACCACCAGACACACAAAGGCGGAACCCTCCAAGCATCCCGGACTTGGACCCCTACTGTACAACCTCTCCAAGCCTCGATTAACCCTCTGGAGGATTTGGGCATGACCCACTAAACCTCAAACAATCCAAGTATCAAATCCAAACAGTCCCTAGCCACGGTGCAGTGCAAAAGGAGGTGATCCACCGTCTCCTTAGCACGAAGGCACATGCAACAATAGTTGACCACCACCTGATTCCTTCTCCTTCTCAAATTATCCTGTGTCAAAATCATCCCTAAAACAGGCGTCCAAGCAAAGAAGGCCACCTTGAGGGGGGCCTTGGAGTGCCAAACAGCCTTCCATGTGAAAGGTGCCCTTGGCACCTCTGTAAGACAGCCAGAGAAGGATCGAGCATCAAAACGACCCTGAGAAGCAGGGACCCACACCCAACCATTAGAATCTCCACCCGTGATTTCCTGGCGATACAACAATTCCAAAAAACCAATGGCGTCCTCAATCTCCCAATCCTGAAAATGCTCCTGAAGCGAACATCCTAAGACAATCTCCCGCTATCAAGCCGATGATAGTTGACCACCATGGCTTGCCTATCTGTGGCAATCCTGAAGAGCCGGGGGGAAAGCTAGAGCAAGAGGTCGATCCCCACACCAAACGTCCTCCCAAGATATGCTTAATTATGTAATTCATTTGCATCCAAAGGATCTTAACCATAAAGATAGTACATTCCACAACATTTAGTTGGCGTGCTTAAATTTTATCTGTTAAGTTACTAATTTGAAGTCTGCAATTTATGCAGAATTATACGGCTGGGAATCCTGCGACTGTGCTATACATAAAGAACTTGGCAAAAGATGTGGTTGCTGACGACTTCTACTTCATATTTGGTGAGCACAAAAGCTGTGATGCATGCTAAATCCCATTTTGACCTTTCAATTACTCCACTAGTACCTTCCCAGAAACCTGATGGTTATCATAAAGAAATAAAAGTTCTTGTGTGATCATACTTTTGAGGAATTATTATCCTGCAATTCCATCAAGTCGATTAAACATGAATATTGAAGTGTGCCATTTTTGTCATGACAGTTCTGGTTTATTTTCTCACTTATGATGTATTGCATATCTGTATTTCAAAGTGCCTTCATTAGTTTTTACTTATTTTTAAATTATCAGAAGGAAAAATTTCTTTATATTATCTTGCTTATGATGTGGTGTAGGATCATTGTTTGGAAGCAATGATGCAGCTAAATCTGGACTTAGTGTGAAGTTAATGCAGGTGAGGTATCTTGATTTACATTTTACTTCTAGATCATTTACTTCTTACAACTTTTAGTTGAATTATTTCTTCTTTTAAAATTGTTCACTTTTACGTAATTTGAGAGCAATACTGGGTCAGAAATAGATTCAAAGAACTGCAGATGGAAAGGACAAAAAAGGAAAGATAAGAAATATTATTATCTGCAAACTTTACAGTTGTGACATTGCCTATGTATGATGATTGAAGTTTCTAATCAATTTTCTTTGGTATTTAAAACGTCTAAAGATAATCAACATTCTTCTTAGCTGGAATGTTTCGAGCTTGTCAAGAATGGCAGAGAGAGCCAGCTTAGTTTAGTCATGAGTTATGAGAATCTAGATCCCTTATTGCAATGCTTACCCATTCTTGTTTGGACTTCATTCCCTCTTTCATCAACTCATGGAAATGAACAATTGATTGATCTGTAGTCATTACTAGTTTCATGTAAATTTCCAAACTATTTAAACGGGGTGTTCTTGTGTGATCTTCTTCTTCTTTTAATTGTTATTCAAGTTGCAAGGAGTATTACACCTTTACACCTAAATTTTCTAAATTTGTAATCCCTTTGTGTTTAAAATTTTAATTATACATCTCAACATACTCATTTACACTTTCTTATGATACATCTCTCTTAGGACATGGTAAGTCTGGACCTAGAGTTGCACTCTTCTCCTCTAGTGAATTGATTAGCTTCGGAATTGTATCCTTGTGAATTTTTATATTTGGAGCTTTCCACGTGAATTGCAGTGTCCATATTTAAGAAAACATTCCATGCTGTATGTTATTTGTGGATGACATTGTATTAATAAATACTTCTAAAGAAGCCTTCACAACAAAATTAGAAATGTGGAGAAGGGCATTAGAATCAAGAGGCCTGAAAATTAGTAAAACTAAACAGAACATATGGAGTCTAAATTTAATAAAGTAGTATATGATGACAATATAAAGATTACAATTCAAGACCAAATAGTTACTCAAAATAACTATTTTTGTTACCTAGGATCAATATTACAAAAAAGTGGTGGGATAGATGGTGATAAAGTAAGTAGGATTGGAGCTGGGTGGACAAAATGGAGGAAAGCTAGTGGTATCTTTTGTGGCAAATGAAAACCAAATAAATTAAAAGGAAATTTCTATAGGATGGTTATTAGGCCAATACTATTGTATGGAGCAAGAGTGTTGGGCTTTGAAAAAGACACAAGTACAACGCATTCATGTAGTAGAAATGAGGTGATAGGATTCACTAGAAAACATAAGATAAATCATGAGTGTCTGAGGAGAACATTAGGTATAGTGCCTATTGATGATAAAATTAGGGAAAGTAGACTTAGGGTTGTATGGATTCAACGTCTGATGATGCACCGGTTAAATGAGGAAGAATGGTTTGCCTTGAAGGGAAGCGACAAAGAGGCCAACCAAAACTTACGTAGGATGAAGTAATTAGAAACAATTTCAAAAAATTGATTCGGAGATTTTCAATGATAAAACCACTTGCAATAGAACGAATCCTTGTAGGATAGGGCTATGTTGAGGGTGTCGAACCTCAAGGACCGTGTTGGCAGTGTCCAGTGTAAAATTACTTCAGATTTGATTCAAGAGAGAGATTGATTGGTGTTTTAATTACTTCTAATTGCAATTGCATTCACTTTATAACTTCAAATAGCTTCTTCAGATATGGATGGATGTGAAGGCCTTAAATATGTTAAGTTTGAGCTTACACAAAAAGATTTTGTGTCTCAATGATGAAAACTATTAGAAAGCCTTTACATTGGGAACATTCCTTTTAATAGAAACCATGTTCATGAGTATGATATAATCATATTGGTTGTCAACATTTGCATCCACATCAGATTACGATGGTGGCTCAAATTTGAACCCTGATAGTAACTGCAACCTTTTGAGATTTCAGGAGGGAAGAATGAGGGGCCAAGCTTTTGTGACATTTCCATCTGTTGAACTAGCCCATCATGCCTTGGTATGTTTGTTACTTAGAGTGGTTTGATCTGCCAGTTGTCTTCTGCTTGTAATTTTGTTTTTTATTTTCATGTAGAGTATTTTGTGCATGCTTTATTTCGAAAAATTGAAATCCCTCTCTGAGCAATGAACAATGCATCCATTAGAAAGAGTCTTAAAGGTAGCATCCATTTGTCCTCTCTGGTAACTTGCCAAAAGACGAATTGGGTTTGTCACTTTGTCGTAGTATTTAATTGCTTAACTAGTTCAGTGATTGTTATTTTATGTCATTGTAAGCAGATGATTTATAAAAACTGGAATATCTAGTTAAGTGCTCATCTTTTTATTATGTGAGCGGATGATCTATAAAAACTGGAAAATCTCCCTAAGTGAGCGATCCTCTAGCTGCTAAAAGGATTTGAGGCATTTGCAAGCAGCTAGCTCTTGACTTGATTAACAGCTCTGTTAAGCTCAATTATTATTTAATTGAGCATGGTTTTTGAGCTCAATCACTTGGTGAGATGAGTTCAATAATAGTGCCAAACTCACATTAGCTTGTCTCATCATTAGTTACAAGAATAGCCCCTGAGCTTGAGGTACCCAAGAATAAAATGAGCCCTGCCTGAACCAAATGCCTTTACTTTTGAGTGCAAGTTGGAGTACAGGTTGAACTGGTTGGTACTCTGTACAGCTCGGCCCATTTTACAAAATTATTTATACCCTTGTAGTAGTCCCCAAAAATATGAACAGATGAATTTTGTTTTTTAATAATTAAAAAAAAAAACTTAAACTAAAAATACAGGGTTCTCATCTCACCTTTGCATGCATCCACGTGACTGATGTCATGTGGTGCCTCTCCAGCAGCACGGCATTCCCTATTGAGGGATGCTTATTAGGCAGGGCTGGGCGAGCCCAAAATTTTAAGCCAAGGTCTGCTGTGTAGTGCAATCCTGGAGGTTCTTCGGGCTTATTAGTGTTGGGCCAGGTTCAGAAAAACCTTTTTTCTTTCATATAAATTATATAGAGTCTAACCAATCATGTGGGTTTGAACTTTGCACCACTGACTATTGATCTATAAAAGCAAATACTCGACAGGTATAAATTGTTTATTTATATGAATCTTTAGAGAAATATGTAATTAAAAAATATATAAATATACATGCATAAATACATATATACATCTATGTATATCTATGAATGATTTACATATACACACATATATACACATACATTCGTATGTCTACATTTACACATACGTACGAAGGATTCTTGTTCTCTCCATTGATCTCAACAAAGATGCTTAGACATTTCACTGAAATTGGTTAGGGCTGATCTCATATGTTAGAATGGACTTAGGAATGGAATGACCGTTCTTTTATGTATTTTATTCCAATGTTTGTGTATATTTGGGCTTAAATGCTTGTTCTCGACAGAATGATTAATGTCATTGATGTTGGGTTCCCACTCCCTCCCAACCTTTAAGGATTGGAATTTTTTTTTTCAATGGGGGAAATAAAAAGTGCCCAACTAATTTTGTAGTCCCAATTTTCTTTTGTGTGTAAATGAGTATGCTTTTTATTATCAAAACCAAAGGTTAGGTCTATCTTCACAAAGGCATTGAGTGACAAGGAATTGGTTCTTTTCGTTATCACTCCCAACTTGGGGAAATACTTTGTCATTTCTTTCTTCTTTGGAATCAGTCATAACTTAATTGGATTAATGCCTCTTCTGTATTTTTGCAATGTACATTGGTTACTCTCTTTTTTGTATAAGTTTTTGGTAATAAATTTTCATTCTTTAAACTCGAGCAATTTATTTATTTTATACTTTGGAGTCTGTTAAATGCATAAAGTTTCACTTGGGACACATGGCATGTTGGCATGTGTATAGAATGTGTTCGGTATTTTTTCTTGGATATGTACCTCGCTAGCTTATATTGATATATAAGTTATCACAAGCATATATAATTTTAGTCATGTTTTTAAAGTATCTACATTGGAACATACTATTTTTCATAAAGACGCTATTTTACTCGATTAAATGGAAGAACTTGAAATATATATATATAGTTTTGTCCCCATATCATTGTATTTTGAAAAATTGGTAAACCCAACACTTAAATACATACTTGCACTCAATACACAAATCTTGTTGCCTTTTAGGGTGATTTTACAAATCATTATTTCCTAAACTACATTTTTTTTTTAATTTATAAATCCTTATTGTAAATCATTGTCGTCTTAATTCAACAACATAAGCTACACTTTTCAGTTAGGTGTCATTCATTGTTTCATGCTTCGGGCAGGTTCATTCAGACCACTTACAATACACGGCTCTACAAAGGACTGGGTTGGGTTAGGAGCGTTTTCAATATGATTCTATTTTCTGTATTTGTCTTTGTATGTCAGTGTGTCTACTTTCTAATCTGTGCAATTTACCAAATTATCCATTGTCCACAAGAGTGCGTCTTTGGCCCCTGATCTCCCAATTCCCATGAAATATGTAGCATGAACACTTTTCCCAAACACACTTTCACGAGAAATAATGTGTTCATAAAATGAAACCTGTTTTATAAGATATGATATTAGGCATCTTGAAGATATGTATATAAATTGAGCTTTTGGCCAGAATTCAGATATTAAAGTGGAAATGTCGTGAGAGAGGATAGTAATAAGCTTGGCTCCAAAGGCTGTTGAATTGGCTATAATAGTATTTTGGGAGGGGTGGGGGTGTTTATCTGATTGATGTTTAAGATGTGCTCTGGGCTGTCTATTTTCCCTGGTTGCAGCAGAGGAGTGATGTTGCAGTGAGCGTTAGGATTGAGGTGCTAATTGTATGTGATCTTACTCAATAGTAATATGAGGAAGTGATAATTGTATGTATTTCTGGTTGGAAGTGATCTTACTCAATGGTAATATGAGGGCATGCCCGGTCTTAGCCTATTCTTTGGTTGGTTGGTTTAATGAAAGCTTGGAAAAAAAGGTAGAAATAGACACATTTATGACAGAATAGAAGTAATACAATTCAAATAAAAAACATAAATAAAATGAGAGTAGACAGATTAAGATAGTTTGGTCATATGCAATGAAACTCCTTTCTTATTAATTACTGTTTTACCATTAACCTGAACTTTGGATACTTGTGCCAATTTAGAGACCTTTCTTAGTCCTTAGCTATGACCTATTCCTCGTTGCTAGTGAGGATGTCACTTCGAATTGTGCAGTCAAATATTCTTGCATATCTTTTAGATCAAACTGTATTCAGATATAATTAGTGTTATTTCTTCTTTTCTTGTGCGTCAAGAAAATGATGAAACAAGTTCCAATTATATTCACAGAAAGGCATCTCTTCCGACAGGGACAGAAACAGCCTTCAGGCTTACCTATTGCCTATATAAAAAAAATATGATGAAACAATTTCATAATTGCTTATTGGGTGGCTAAGTTGATTGGTTTTAGGTCGCATTTTTTTCAACCTTAAATTTATGATACCAGATTCATTTAACTGAGCTGCTTGATCCTGTGCTAATGATGTATTTTGCTTAAAAATTTTAGGGAAGTTGGCTTGCTTGGTTTGTAACTCCGAAAACAGTTCTCAAGAACTCATAATACAGCAAATTGTTCTCTTTGAACAATCTTTTATAGTTCTCTATAAACAGACATTTTTATAACCGAGTTTTTAGAAAACTGAACCATGCAGAGTTTTTTGTACAATTTTCAGTTTATGAGAACAGAAAACTGTTTCCATAATTACAACCCAAGCAGGCCTGAATAATGTAGGTATTAATAACTCAATTCAGCATTTAATTTTGAATAATCAAGTACTTATTTAATTAAATGTGGTTTATAACGTGATTTGGATACCACTTATGATGAATTCCACATAAATTTTTAAGTGAAAAAGACCACTTTGCACTAAACACTTAAAATTCAAACTAACAAAAAGATAACTTATTATTAGCACTTAAAATTTTCATTACCTAATATTCCGTATTATTCAACAGCACCATCAACATTTGCAGTTTACCTTTGTGCAAAATTTTGATCATGTGCTGATAGTTTTGAAATAGAAGGTCATCTTCTTATTCCCGTATAATATTATTGTTTGCAGAATCTAGTGAATGGATATGTTTTTAAAGGCAAGCCAATGATCATCCAGTTTGGCCGGAATCCTACAATTGACAAAGCAAATTAAGCAGAACCGCTTAAATAATGGAAGTTCTTTTTTCTACTCCTATCATTTTTGGTCACTTGCTCATAATTATTTTCTTATTCTATATGAGCAAACTGGAAAGAAAAAGCAGTTGAGGTAACTGTATTATTTTACTTTGTTCAACGTGCGCCTTTGTGTCATTTCATTGGGATTCCCTTCAAATTTATATCTATTTACAGATTGATTTGGCCTGCAGGGGTGCACACGAGGGACTCAAGCCTGCTGCTAGTGGTATGTAGAGGCGGCCATTGACCAATTATGACACTCCTGCTCCAGTCCTATTGCTAATGGTGTTTATGATTTTGAGCAAATCAGGGAGCACACCCATTGAATGAGTTGGAGGGAGACTTTCGGAATCAGCTGGTCCAAAAGATGAAGACACCGGAAAAAAAAATAAAAAATGGACGACACACCGGAGGATTATGGCAGCGAGGCAACCACATGACCTATGATGATGATTATAAAGGATTTATTGATCTGTTTCTTTTACTTCACATTTTTTTTTTTTCTCTCAGGAAAGTACGAGGAAAAATCATCATTTTGTGGTTAGAGGAGAAATTGAATTGTTTTCGTGTTTCTAGCTTGTTTGATTTTCAAACGTAATTATTCTTTGCTTCTCATTTTCAATTTAGATTAATTTATGATTATTTATTTTATTTTGGATGAAGTATTTGTACTAGATGTTAAAAAAAAAAAAAAAAAAAAAAAAAAAAAATGGTTTCGGTGCTTTCTTAGCTCCTCTTGTACGGCGCACTTTTTATTGCCACTCATCTCAATCCAAATTTCATTTCGTTTTCATTTGTCAAATAGCCAAATTGAAAAATGTCCGTGAAACCACAAACAGTCCTTTTGTGTATGAAATGTTATTATAGAAGTTGAGTATCTGACCAAACGAGATTGTTAACCCGAAATGTTATTATAGAGGTAGAGTATCTAAGTCGTTAATCCAAACGAGTTTGTTAACAAACATAACATGGTGCTATATGCACAATTGACACAATTTTTATTTGTTTTTTATTTTTATTTTTTCATGCTTCGAAAGACAACTGCTATGGATTTAATTACATTATTGATTTACTAAATTTTGATGTTTTTGACCACTTTCATTGCGCGGGAATTTTATAAATTTTTTTTTTTGGGACAAAATTAAATAGCTTTTGATAAATTGTATTTTTTCTTCATTCAAAAAAAAATAAATTTTAAGCTTATTTAAAAAAAAAAAATTTTAAGCTTTGGACCAAATTAAATAAGCTCGCGTATTTTTTTTTTTTTTGGGGGATAAAATTAAATATTTATTTATTTATTTGACAAAATTAAATAAGCTTTTGATAACTTTCGCGCTTTTGTTACATTCTAGCTCCCTCTTGGGCCTTTTTTATGAACTATGCATGAGGTGCAGTTCCACCTAGCTTATGAAACGATTCGTTTTGGATGCAGTGGATTTTTTCTTCGTAAATAAGTACATCAAGATCGTAAATAAGTACATCAGGAGGATCTTCACTATTGCTACAAGGTCGTGAACCAATCAGTGGCTAGAATTCAGTCTAAAGTTTTTCACTTCCGTGTGGAGGTTATAAATTGACAGATTACAGAAAAATGTATGTGAGAGTTTCACTATATAAGTTTTATAGAAGTTGTCTATATCTACATCTCGTGAGTGATTTACCATGTCTCACAGTAAAGTCGCCCAAATGTGAAACAGAGGTTACTTAAGACGAGTAGTTTACCGAGGTTGTCCATGAGTGTAAAAATGTTTGCCACAGGCCCACAGTTACACATACATTTCACATCTGTTACAAGTGACTGCAAAAACCTTTTACAGATGTTGGCCACAACAGTCGCCTGCAAAACCATAACTAAGAGTAAATGGTATGCAACACCTCTCTTGTCTTTGTCTTTGGCAGGGGACAACAATAGCAAATTATTACAAGTCGCCTGTAAAATGTCACACCTCTCTTGTCTTTGGCAGGGTACAACAATAGCAAATTATTACAAGTCGCCTGCAAAAATGGTGTGTAGTTTACAGAGATGGTCCATAACTGAGAGTAAATGTCCTCCAACAGTTACGCCTAATTTCACACTTCTGGAACTATTTTAATAAATAAATTAAAAAAAACAAATTCAACATATTATATAATAGCCTTTGAGAGGTAAATATTTTACACATCTCTTCTAATGATGTCTTTATCAGTAAAGATTAACAGAAAGCACTAGAAGTTACCCACCAAGAGTAAGTAAATATCATGTAAAAAGATCTTTTCGTGACCACATTCTAGAAAGATTATAAACATAAATGACTCTAACTAAAAATAAACTGCTTAATTTGTTATGTAAAAATTTATATATACACCCTACAGATCTGGTGGGAATTTTTAATTAATGTTCCTTTTCTAAAATTTCTGCCCCAAATGCAAAAGTAAAGGCTGACACTAGCAATTCCTCCACGGAAGAGTTCTACTGAAAGCAGATGAAGATTTAGAATCTAAAAAGAACAATTAATTCAAATGTGATCAATGTGAATCTTAAGAAGCTTCAAGCAAAGCCAAGAAGGAGGAGAAAAATATAGTTAAAACATTTGCATTATTTGAATAATGCATCTAAAACAAGAACTTAGAGGGATTTAATCCAATCGAAAGAAAATTTATTTTATTAATCTTTGTAATTATTGACATTGGATGATGCCAAAGCTAACTCATGAAATTTAGTTTTATGTGCATTTAGATCAATCTTTGATTATTCATTCAATTTTGAATTAATTATTCAGATTATAAACGGACTTGCACTAGAAATTAAAATTTTGGCACAAGTGAAACTCTCTGTAATTATATAGCTCTCATCTCAGCCCAAATTTCAATTCCTTGTCAAATAGCCAAATTAAAGAATACCCTGATACAGTGAAGCTACAGAACAGTCCTTTTGTTCATGCCATGTTGTTGTTCTCATAGAAGTCCAGTGTCTTGAGACATGAATAAGTGTATATAAATTATTTGTCTATATTGTTGACTTTCAATGTTTATGTTATTTACTTTATTTATTTAAAATAAATAAAGATTTGGCCGTGCAGAATCAAACAAGTTATGATTCGTGAAGTAAAATCGAGTGAGTTCACAAAGGTCAAAATAATGTGCACAAATTGCTATAGATTTACCCGCATTGTTGGTTTATTTTGAGTTTTGATAGTCTCATAATGTAATTGCACATGTCTTTTTATAAGCTGAAACAGAACAAGGTTGAAAGTCATTGATTTTTTATTTATTATTATTTTTTAATTCACTGAAATATAATGGTATCTTATTACTGTGAATTACGGTGCTTATAGCATGCTTGCACTCACTTGTAATAAAGGCTTTGTTCGAGTGTAAAATATTTTTCTTGTAAAATGTTTTCTATAAAACACTTTTTCAAGTAAAATGTTTTCTTTATTTTTTATTTTTTGGTGTTTGGCAAAGATTTGAAAAATATTTTGGTGTATGACTTAAGTATTTTTTTAATTAACATTAAAGTTCTTATTTGAGTCATTGATTATTTATTTTTTTCTCTTACTATCAATTGGTCCAATTATTTTTATACCAAATTATAATAATTATTTGAAAAGAAATATAAAAATAATCAATTGATTTTTTAAAAAATGATAAAGAAACCAAAACAAGTCTCTCTATCGTCAAATCCAACAAGTGAGCTTTTTTTTTTTTCCACTTTACGTATCACTTTTTAAGGTTTTAGAAAGTAATACTATATGTTAATCACTAAGCCAATACTGATGACAAAAAAATATAATAATAAAAGCAAATTGAAGAAACCAAAAATAGAAAATTGTATGATTGTTATTAAAGAAGAGATTTGTTCATGTAAAATGACTCATCTCCTTCTCTCTCTAAAAACTCTCTTTATTAAAGGACTCGTTTCTCTATCTCTCTAGACGCCCTTTTCTCTCTCTAGACTGATTTTTGGCCACTATGTAACTCTTCTATGTACTTGATTGACGTTTTTGATGTCATATGCTTTTGTTGAGGAGATTGAGAGTGAAATTAATAGGTTCGAAAAATGACTTTCGGAGGATTAATTGGTAAGTTGTTTTGGTTAAGTTTTGGGAAATTATTTTTTTCTGTAAAAGATTTTCTTTGAATTTGGTACTACCAAACACCAGAAAAAAAAAATAGAAAATGTTTTATGCTCAAACAAATGAAGCCAAAAATGTTGGATCTTTTTATTTTATACTTCTTCACTAGATGTATTTCGGTAAATGCGTTTTTTGTCATAATTTTCAATGTTTTGATATTAGTTGTTCCTCGCTCCCATAACTCAGTGAGGGAGATGTGATAGTATTTCTTCTGCTGGTATGTTAATCACTAAGCCAATACTGATGACAAAAAAATATAATAATAAAAGCAAATTGAAGAAACCAAAAATAGAAAATTGTATGATTGTTATTAAAGAAGAGATTTGTTTCTGATCACTATAACACATGTAAAATGGCTCATCTCCTTCTCTTTTTAAAAACTCTCTCTTTATTGAATGACTCATTTCTTTGTCTCTCTAGACGCCCCTCTCTCTCTCTAGACTGATTTTTGGCCACCATGTAACTTTTCTATGTACTTGATTGACATTTTCGATGCCATATGCTTTTGTTGAGGAGATTGAGAGCGAAATTAATAGGCTCGGAAAACGACTTTCGGAGGATTAATTAATAAGTTGGTTTGGTTAAGTTTTGAGAAATTATTTTCTTCTGTAAAAGATTTTCTTTGAATTTGGTACTACCAAACACCAAAAAAAAAAAAAATAGAAAATGTTTTTCAAAAAATGTTTTACGCTCAAACAAACGAACCCAAAAATGTTGGATCTTTTTATTTTATACTTCTTCACTAGATGTATTTCGGTAAACGTGTTTTTTGTCATAATTTTCAATGTATTAGTTGTTCCTCGCTCCCATAACTCGGTGAAGGAGATGTGATAGTATTTCTTCTGCTGGTATCATATCCACGCCAAAGGTGCAGTTGCACCTCGATTGTCTCAGAAAGTCAATTGGACATAGATAGCATTAGTAATGGGGTTCGGAGAGTCTGAATGATAAGGATGAAAAGGCTTATAGGAATGAAAGGGTGCCACCTACTTTGAATAATGGAAATTCAGGATTCGTATATATGTATACATGTTGAATTAAGGATAAACAATTCGTTACTTGATAATAGTTGATATGCAAGGGGAAGCAATAGCATGGAGTACTGAGAAAGGAAATGATTAGACTTTTGGATGTAGTGGTGTTAATGGCTACATTTACGCAGACACGCATGATATATGCTTTTGACTATCATGTGTAAATATAACTGAGGTGAAAATCTTAAGGTACGGTAGTGTCATGCACCGAAGTAGAATTGAGTTTTAGAATATTTCACATTTGTACAGAAAATGTGAAATATTGTAAAGAAATAAAGAATTTTAGAACATTAGAGAGATTGTATAAATTTGCAATAGTTAAACTAAAAGTTCTTGAAAGTATATGCTAACTATTGATTATAATAATGCAACTATTAGAAAGGTGAATATATATAGGCAAGAGTTTCATTTGTAACGTCTAAGTTCTAAGACCAAGTGGGAGTGTAAAGGTGGTGTTAGTACCAAATTGAGCTTTGTGAGTAGGCTACATCGATGACAATTGCTTCATATTTTAAATTAAATCATAAAGGTGGCAGTTTACAATACAATATTTTCCAAATTTATTTTTGGAACAGGGACTGTAATACTATGTTTCACAGACAGCATCTTCTCGCCGATAGGTATGGCAGAATGCAAGTGCAATATTGGATTAAATATATTGATAATGGAATTGCATGTTACGAACCTATGTTGACGAGTGGCATAGGATTTCATACACGTCACATGTACGCCGCTATGTTAGGCATAGGATGTCATACACGTCGCATGTTGGGTTCCAAATGTATAATAAAATATGTTGATACAACTCCTTCATAAGTGGATATTAACTACTTTGCACATTCCTATACTTTGTCTTTGGGAGGGGATGAGAGTCACTGAAAAAATTGTGAATAATTTAGAGAAGGTGCAAATTGTGTGCAGAGGCATAAGTGAAGCCTGCCACATTTGGGTTCGTATTTTAAATAAATTATAAGGATGACAGCTTACCATACACCATTTCCTACACCCGTCTTTGGGATGGGATAGAAGTGAGAAAGTATTATAGGGTGTGCAAAGTCATAAATGTAATAACAAAAGTATTCTACGCGTATGACGTACAGTTGTTTGTACTAATATTTTATTACAAATTCATAAGTGAATATAAAGACTAGGGTTGACAACGGTGGTGGTTTTGGACAAGTGTACCCTTTTCCGCCCCTGCCCAAAACTGACTAAACAGGGGATTTTTCCACCCCATCCCCGCACTCGTTTAACTTTTTCACCCCAAAGGCACCCGCCCCTCCCCGTTTAGTCCCATAATTTTTCCTCCTTATAAAATTTTTTGCCCCTCAAATACGATTATATAACTATTAAAAATTCATTAAAAAAGGGCCATTAATACTTTAACATAAAATTTAACATTACAAACATTGAATGAGAATAAGAAACCTAGGGTTTCTAATACTACCTATATATATATATACTAATAAAATAATAGTAATTTAGTAATTTACCTACCTAAATGGGGTAGGGTGTCTTCCCCCCACCCCCGCCCCGAACCCACGCGGGTTTTGTTAACAAAAACCTTCCCCGCCAAAATAAGTTAAATGGTCCCCCAAAACCACCATAAATAGGGCGGGACAAGGTGAGTACCCGCCCCCGCGGGGCAAATTGCCTCTCTAATAAAAACTTTAGTAGTCTACGCATATGACAGTTGATTTGTAGTCACAAATTAGTATATGGGATGCAGAGTCATAACTTAGTACAATTGATTTGTATTTTAATACTCCTTCAGTCCCAAAATATTTATCCATCTTTTTATTTTGAGATGTCCCAAAATACATGTCTCATTCCTAAATTGGATGTACTCTTTTGACATTTGTTTTATTAAACAAGTGCACTATTTTCGGAGTACTCTTTTGTCTTTTAGCAATGATAAATTTTAAAATTCACTCTTATTAATACAATAAAAAAATATTAAAACCCCCAAAACACCTGAGAATTTTGGGATGGAGGGAGTATATTATAAAGGTGATAGTTCACACTAGATCATTTCCCACCCGTCTTTGGAACTAGACCTAAATCGTAAATTAAAACAGTGTAAGGTATGGCATCTGACATTTAGGTTTAACTTACATTTGTTTATTAACCGCACAACCAACCCACAACAATCTTGACCGTAAGATAATGAATTAGAATAAGATTAATCGTGACTCTTGGGTAAAACTGATGGTATATTTGTTATGAACTAATTCAACAGATTGATAAAATAGAATAAAATTAATTACTTGCGACTAAATTAGGTTGTACAATATATTTTTGATGAGTAATTGCCATTTCAAATGTGTCACATATCTATTATGAAATATGTGAGAGTGTAGAGCCATAACAAAACGACTATAAATGCGTGTGTAATCTATTGTGTGATAGTTGGTTCATATTCTTTAATATAAATTAGGGAAAAGTGCAAAAAACCTCTCTGATCTATCGGTAAACATGCAAAAAACCCCAGAACTACCAATTATGCAAATAACCTCCTGAACTATGCAATTTTGTTGCCGATTGTCCCTCCGGCCACCGTCCGTCGAAAATTCACCGTTATTTGAAGCACGTGAGATAGAAAGTGAATTTTATGGACAATAATGCCCTTTGAAATTTGAAAAGACGAAATAACCCTTTTATGGCTGTTAGGGCCAAACAAGCCTTGTATATACTAGTATATACACCCCAAATCGTTATATAAACACCCCCAATTTATTAAAACCCTAGCTAACCCAAACTTAGAAAAACACTAAATTGATTCCCCATATCAACCTTATACATCTGTTCGTGGTTAGATCCCCTCTCGCTCACCTCTGTTCGTGATCAAATCAAGTTAAATCCAGTCTCTATCGTGGTCTACTCCTCCCTCTAACCCTCTGTTCGTACTCCAGTGAAAGGTAATCCCGTCTCTGTCATTGGGTCTATATTGGTATGTGTTGATATATATATATATATATATATATATATATATATGAAGAATGATAGGTAGTCCATTCTCTCCTCTTTCTCTCTTTTCTTCTTCCTCCTCCTTTCTTAAAATTTTAAGGGATTTGTATTCGTAAAATTTCAGTATATCAGTTTATATATACTTACAGAGGTTGTGTAAATATAGATCTCTTTTTTACTCTGCTCAGTATGTCATGAATTTTTGAAGGTGTTTGAAATGGACAATGCTGGTTTCCAATCATGAATAAGAGGTGTTGGTGTGGCCAAAGAGCTTCGATATTTATTTCTGAGTCCGCGAACAATCCTCATAGGTTATATTTCAAATGCAGTAGAAGAGTTTGCAAATACTTTGAATGGGGGACTCCTTCTGCTACCCAAAATAACATTAGAGCTCCAACTCCTCTACCTGCTTATGTTGTGCCTCATGTAGCTCATCCCTTGCTAGAAGAAGTTCCTCGAACAACTGTTAATTCAGTTGCAAGTGTTATGTTTATTGGAAGCCTTATTTTATTTAGGTTCTCTGTTCTAAATTTTTTTGTTGCTCTGATTATTAAGTGAAACAATGTAGGAAGATAAGGCCTATCCAGTTAAAGTTAGGTCTGTTTTAGAGGTGTGGGGTTGTTGTATGATATTTTGGAATTTTAGGTTGTATAGTTGTATGCTATGTAGGAAGATGGGGCATATCTAATTGTAGTAATGGTGTTGATAAATGAAATGCAATGTTTTGATTAATACACTTTTTGGAGTCATTTTGAGTGTTTATATATTTGTGTTATTGATAAGTGGTTTAGTGGTCAATGCAGTTGAGTTGTAGTTGAAGTCCTATTATGGTTATTGTAATGTCACAGAAGTGTAGTGGATTTAATGTAGTGAATTACACACTGCTTAACAACAACATTCAATTGCTTGCATTGACAGCAAAAACCACTGCATTTTGATACAGTATGACCTGCAATTCTCTTACACTAGAAACATAAAAACCTACGAAATGATAAACTTGCCCAATGACCACCTCTTTAAAACCTGTTCAATGACAAAACTTGTCCAATGATCACTTATTTAAAACTTGTTTAATGACAAAAATTGTCCAATGACCACTTCTTTAAAACCTATTCAATGATAAACTTGTCCAATAATATGTCATGGACCATAACCTGTTAAATGAAAACCCGTTTAACAAATGACACCAAATTATGACACTTTGACACTAAATGTTAAAACTGTTAGATGAAAAACAATATGAATTAATAACATAGCATATTATAACATTTCACTTAACATTCTAAACATCAATACCACAATAGGTACTTAATAACAAAGTTTTCATATCCCATGAACACAACAATCACCAAAAAGAGGGCTCAGTTAAGGTCAACATTAGCCATTACACCAAATTACAACAACAACTGACAACAGGAAGTACATAGACATAAATGTCCATTAACCAACAAAACCAAAAGCAAAAGCTGTAATAATTTGCCATCCACCAACATAACCAAAAATAGAAGTTGTAATAACTGGCCATCCACCAAAAAATAAAAATAAAAATAAAAAACACCACCAACAGTAGCACTATCTTCACTACCAACATGCATACTCACTGTCCATCATTGACCTATCAATAATTTAAGCAACTATACATCAGTTATTTGCATTCATTATTAACATATAGTAAACAAAAGGGACTGTTTCATCATACCTAGAAGATGATGTTTGTGTCAACCTAGAAGATGATGCTCGTGCCTGTGACAACTGAGAAAATGGTATATTTTGAACCTAAAATGAGTATCAACAAGTTAGCTAATTTGAAATAAATTGTATGTAGTATTAACGTGTTAGCTAATTTGAAAAAGATTATGAATAAGTTACATTAAATTAAAAGTACCTATTGGTTTGAAGGTACCACAGCTGGAACCTCAAGTCCTCTTGTTCTTCCTCTTCCTCTACCTGTCATCCCATCAAGTCCTCTTGTTCTCCCTCTTCCAAGGATAGGTGGTCTACCTTCTCTTCTTGGTGGAGGTATCTCAATCACCAATGGCTCAGGCAATTTGCACGTCCTTGAGTTATGACCACTCTCCTTACATTTTGAACACTTTAAATTGTCCTTTGACCTGCTAAGCTTGGTTGCACTCTTGTGGTCATCATTCTTCTTATTTTTAGCCTTCTTTGGCCTACCAGTGGGTTTTTTAAAGTATGGTGGCAACAGTGGGTTAATGGGTTCTGTTTTCATCAAACTTCCAATTGGAATGGGGTGGATTATACCAACATAAGCCATGAGGTAGGTCTCTCTATGATAATATAGGTGAACATATGCCTTAGGGGAGTTTCTCTTAATAATTATGCAAACTACAACATGCCTACAAGGGATATCAGTTAACTGCCACACTCTACAGCTGCATGTTCTTTTATCAATGTCAACTGCCTCACTAATACCAATCTCATACTTTTAATCACCAGCATAATGCACCTTACACATTCTAGCTTGGTGCTTGACTTTGTTGAGACTCTTTTGTATTTCTGGACATAACAAGCCACCCTGTGATATCATCCACTTTCTCTTACATTGAAATCTTAGCATTAGATGCCTTCTAATCCATTCTAGCATGTATATTATTGGCTTATCCCTTGCCTCAAGGATGGCTGCATTCCAACTTTCACACATGTTATTAATGACCACATCATTTCTTGAAGTGTGTGTGAAGGCTGACCTTGACCACAATTCAGTTGGCACCTTTTTCAACCACTCACAAGCTTCAACATTTAATTCCCTTAATTTGTTCAAATGTTGCTCAAAATCAGCCTCTGTATATGCTCTTGCTGCCTCTCATAACAGATTTTTTAAATGTTGTCCTTTGAACTTGAGCTTGAAATTCTCATAAAGATGTCTGACACAAAATCTATGGTCTGACCCTTCCATCACACTGTCAAAGGTTTCCACTAAACCCTGTATAAGAGACAAAATAGCAGAAGCAAATATTAAGTAAATAATACAAAAAATTAATACTTAAATGCATGAATTAATTAATTAAATACACTATGAAATTGTAAATCAAATATTAAGTAAATAATACAAAAAATTAATACTTAAATGCATGATTAAATACACTATGAAATTGTACCTTTTGTCTGTCAGATATGAAGGTTATACCATGGTAAGGTCCAACTGCATCCATTAATTCTCCCATAAACCATTCCCAAGAGTCTCTTGTCTCAGATTCCACCACTACAAATGCTACTGGGAACATTTGGCCATTCCCATCATTGACAACTGTACTTAACAGGTGTCCACCATATGGTCCCTTTAGAAAGCAACCATCCACACCAATTAGTGGCCTACACCCTTCTTTAAAACCAGTTTTCATTACAGCATAACAGATGAAGACTCTTTGAAACCTTCTATCATTCTCAACAGTACTTGGCTCAGTTTGTAGTTTGACAACATTGCCTGGGTTAGTTCTCAATATCAAACTATAATAATCTCTCATTTTCTAATATTGGTCTGCTTCATTTCCCTTAATCATTTCTGAAGCATTCCTTTTAGCCCTAGCCACTTTGTGTTTGGACACATCAATGTCCATATTAGAAGCAATAGTGCTCTTAAGTGTACTCAAAGGCATCTTTTGGTTTATTCTAAATTGTTCTATGTATTTGTTTGCAATGTAGGAAGATGAGGCCTGTGCATTGGTGTGAAACCAAAGGCAGTTTCTATGTTCTTACACATAAGTCTTTATTATCAAACAGTTTTCATCTTCTGCTTTGCTTGCATATATCTTCCACACACAGTCAGCTTTGCATACTGTACTTACCCTATCTCCATCATTCCTTGTGAACTTTATATCAAACTTTTCCCTCAATGTTGTCTCTCTTAAAGCCAACCTAAAATCATGAGCTGACCCAAACCTCATGCCTAATTCTATTTCCTTTTCTCCTAATCCCTTGAAGGAATGTAATCTAGGTATATAGAACCACTATCAATTCCTTCATCATCAGATCCATTCAAGCTTATTAACTCATTATTGGGACCATATGGGCTTAACACATGAGCAATAAGGTCTGTTTCATGTATAACATAGTCCCAACCTAAATCATTATCTAAGCATTCCTCATTTCCTACACTGTTTAACAAAGGTGCAACAATGTACAACTTCACTTTGTTAATTGGTTTCCCTATGGGTATTATGGTCATAAAACATTCTATATACATCCAAGTCACACTTTACTTCTCTAAAGTTTTGCCATTCATAGGGTACTTTGTAGAAAACTTCAGTGATCACCCGATAGCCTAACTTAGTTGCCATCTCTTGAATCTCAATAAATGACATCTTGTTAGGGTCAACTTTATCAAAGTGAGAGATATTTCCTCCTAGGTATGTCATAGGGGGTGATTTTTCAAAAACACCCCCATGATGAAGTTCAATTATGTACAAACCATCCATCTACAACAAGAAATTGCAATAATCAAACAGTGGTCACGGTTAGAAATAGTACCAAATATTCAATAGAAACAAGCACTACATTAATTAAATAATGCAGAGACAATATAATTTAAGAACAGAAAAACAAAATCAATTATTCAATAGTACCAATTTGAAAATTCAATAAATAATAGGACCACTACAGAACATACAACATTTAAGTAAAATAAAGGGACTACCAATTAGGAGTGTACACAGTTCGGTACGGTACGGTTCCTGCCAGAACCGGAACTGGTCTGAATGGTTCCTAAAAAATAGAACCGGAACCGGAACCGTGAGCAGTAGAATCGAACTGGAACCGAACCGTTCCATGGAACCGTTGACCAAACTGAGACCGGAAGGAGAGGCTGAGACTGAGACTAAAAGGAGAGGAGAGGTGAAGATCTGAGTAAAAGTGATTGAATCAGAGGCTGAGAGGAAAGGCTGAGACAGAGACCGATCTAAGTAGAAGTGATTGAATCAGAAAAAGTTGTAATACCCCGTAATTAATTAAAGAGTTTAGTTTATTTAAATTCAATTATGTGTGGATTCCTTTACCTATTATTGTGCATGCTACATTGTTATATTAAGTTCATTTAATGGTGCATGTAAATTAATTGTGTATGTTAAAATAGTAAATTTATTCATTTAATTGTGCATGTATTATTATAATTAATTTTATTTGTTGATTATGTTTAATTAAGCAATATTAGTTAATTAAAGTATTATATTTGTGTTATAAAGTATTATGATGATATAATGTATTCTTATGTAATAATAATAATAATAATTATAATAGTTTAATAATAATAATAATAATAATAATAATAATAATAATATAATAATAATAATTATAAAAGTTTATTAATAATAATAATAGTTATAATAATAATAATAGTATTAAACCAATGTCATGATGAAATTAGAGATTAGGATAGGATTTCATCAATGTTTATGGGTGGACTTGAAGCCATATGGTTGGGAAGGTGGTTAGTAAATGTAAAAATTAGATATTTGTAATATTTATATTATATAATTTGTATATAAATTAGCTAGCCTACCTTAGAAGGAAGGAAAGGGAGTTAGACACAAATTATAAATTTTAGTAAGTCATTGTAAAAGTGTGGAAAGGAAGAGAAAGAAAGAAAGGAGCTTGGACCGGTGTAGGAAAAATTTACCCGACTACGCGCAACCGGCGGATTTATTTTAAATCCAAAAAGGCAAGTTATTATCTATTTT